TTAATAACAACATCAACAACATCAATAGCATCAACAACAGCAACGACATCAACAACAGCAACAACATCAACAACATCAAAAACAGCAACAACAGCAACAACATCAACAACAGCAACGACATTAACAACATGAACAACATCAACAAAAACAATAACATCATCAACAACAGCAACAACATAGAAGCAAACACAAGATAAATAACATCATTCACAACATCGCCATCATCGTCGTCATCATCGTCGTAACCTTTAATTACATCATTATCAATAACATTAAAAGCATCAACCACAGCATCATCAACCACAGCATCATCAACCACAGCAGCAACAGCAGCGACTGCAGTAGCAACAACAACAACAAACCAACTCTACACACGTTAAAAACGTTCAGAAAATTTTTTATGGCGCACATAAAAAAGGAAAATAAATAATTGACCATATTTAAAAATTAAATTTTACAACAAAAAAGAACTTTTTTCATCTTTAAAAATTAAAATTCTTGCTAAAATAATAAAATTTTTAATTTATAGGAAACAAATAAGACATTTTTTTTACCAAAAAAATCTTACAGAAGTAAAGATAAATAAATACAACAATGAACCGGTTAAAAATGATATCATATTCTTCTATTAAATTTAGTTTATTCATCATCACCATCATCATCATCATCACGGTGAGCCATTTTGTATTTACTCCAGATCATAATCACTATCATCACCATCATCTTTTTTATCATCATCATCACCATCTTGATTTTAGAGGATGTGACGTACACGAGCTTGTCGGAAGTGCATAGAATAAACAGCGCTCGTATTTTTATTCTTTGCTGAAATTAAAACTTTTTATATGTTTCATTATTATTTTTCTCATTTTATCATCATCATCATCATCGAAATTTTTGCCATCATTATCGTCATCATCATCATCATTGTCGTCGTCGTCATCATCAGTAGCAGCAGAAACAGCAGCTTCTTTAGCAGCTGCATCATCATCGCGTTAACGTTCCCAATGGTTCGACGGATTTGCAAGTTTAGTGTTTAGTATGTACAGGATTATCGCAGTAAACTGGAGCATTATCACTCATGATGCACTCATTCGTCATCATTCCACTTTCTCATTATATCATTCCACATTATATATATATATATATATATATATATATATATATATATTATGATATCATTCTAAGACTTGATCTTTAACATTTTGTAGTAGTTGAAATGTGGTGATATTTAACAAGTAAATAAGAGGGCTTCACGAATGTTATTCGTTGTTAACCGCGGTCTTTTCTCTCTGCAATCTTTCCAGAAGTTGTTAGATTTTCCATTCTTTCCTTCCACATGATGTGACCAAAAAACTTTAACTGCCTCCGTCGGATTATCTGTAGTAATTTCCATCGTAGCAGCATCAATCTTGTTTTCCATTGGAAACTGTCCAAAACTCAGAACCTTAAGTGAGGAGTACATGAAAAATTTAACACCCTAACAGTTTTAACTTTGTTGATATTCTGATTTTACTGTTGGCGAGGATGTTTTTCATTCTAGAATATCCCTCCTTTTATCATGATACCAATGAAAAATACACCATTATATCAAGATACCAATGTTAACTACACTATTTCATCATGATACCAATGGTGAAAACACCATTATATCATGATTCCAATGGTAAATACACCATTATATCATGATACCAATGATAAATATTAGTAATTATGAAATGATAAAAATGTAACGAGAGTAATAAAAAAAAGTTTCATATAAATGTGGCAGTAGATCGATTTTGACCAACCCAACCAGGCAGAAACTTTTGAGACGTTTGAACAATTTTAAAATTTTGCTGATGTCATCATGGCTGTTGTTGTTGTTGTTGTATTGTTGATGATGACGTCATAATTGTTGTTTTGTTGATGACGATGTCATAATTTTGGTTGTTGTTGATGATGATGATGTCATCGTTGTTGTTTTGGTGATGTTTTTGTTTACGTCATTGTTGATGTCATTGTCTGAAGTTACTATTGTTTTAGTGTTGTTGTCATCGCTATTAGAGTTTTGTTGTTAATGTCATTTTGCCGTTGTTGGCTTATAGTTTTATTGTGGCTTTGATAAAATATTGTTGTTGATGTATTTTTTGTTGTTGTTATAGTTTTGTTGTTGTTGATGTTGAGAGTTTATCATTATTCAAAATAGGAATTAATGAATAAATGAGTGAAAACAAGAGAAAAATGGAGAAAAAGAGAGAAAAAGAAAGAAAGTGAGAGAAAGAGAGAGAGAGAAAGAGAGAGAGAGAGAGAGAGAGAGAGAGAGAGTTTGATGAGCGCCAACAGAACATGCATATATAAGAGGTAGATGCACTTTCGCTCCAGATGCATTATTTTCATTTTTATTTCCACTTTCGAATTGGGCGAATTTAATTTTGTCTGCAAATAAAACGAAAAAAAAATTAACTTATTATTAATTTTATTGTCTAACGAGATCAGTAAATGGGTTTTTAATTGAAATTGATTGTTAATAAATGAATGAATAAATTATAGAAATAAAGTTTATTAGTTGTTATTATTGATTAACAATTCAATATTTTCATCGTAATTTTTTTTATTTTTTCGCACTTAACTTGACAGAACTGGAAAAATCAGATTTAAAAGAATTAAAATGATAAAAAAACAATGATAATAATAATAATAATAAACAATAAAACTAATATAAAAATGCGACAAAATAATTTTTTTCTGCCTATCTTTGAGGTTTGGAAAGATTTTTCTGACGTGTTCTAATATATTTTAATATCAGTTGAATTTTACGTCAGCAGTTCTCAAACACGAACACCTGGCTGACGCGTTAGTATGATTGAAATTCATCTGTTCTTAATTAAGTATACTACTATTCGTTATAATATTGTTATAACTATGGTTATAATAATTAGATATATTATTATCATTGTTATATCACTTATAATTCCATTACGATTGCCCTTATTAAGATTCTTATTATAAATCTTATTATCATTAAAAAAGGTGTTCTCAATATTGAATTAATTAAATTTAAATGAAGTATTAGAGCTCATGCCACTACTAATATAACTACTACCACTACTACTATTACTACTACTACTAATACTACTACTGTTACTACTACTACTACTACTATTACTACTACTACTACTACTACTATTATTATTACTACTACTACTATTACTACTACTACTAATATTACTACTACTGCTATTATTACTACTACTATTACAACTGCTGCAACTACTACTACTACTAATAATAAAACTACTACTACTCTACTATATTTTTTAATTTGCATTAAATTTTTTCTTTGAAAAAACAAAAAACAACAAAGTAAAAAATGTTAAAAAAAACTATTTTGTTGCAATATTATTATTATTATTATTACACCATTCCACAAAATTGTTCTCTATATGCGTTTTACTCTAACTGCGTATGTTTGTGTTGAAATAGATGAATGAATGAACGAACGAATGAAAATGAATAAATGAATGAATGAAAATGAATGAATGAAAATGAATAAATGAATGAATGAATGAATGAATGAATGAATGAATTAGAATGAATGAATGCATGCATGCATGAAAGAATAATTACGTTTACTAATGAAATGAACACGTTTATGACTGCTTCACCATGAATGTATTCTGTTTTTTGTATTATAATTATGTATTGTATATGATTGATTGTATGTGTGTAGTTGTATGTGTGATTGTATATACACAATATTGTGTACATACATAATTGTATATATATATACAATTGCGTATGCATTGTATGTGCATATGATGTACGAGAAGGTTTGCATGTATGCGAGTAGAGTATGGCACATTGGATGATGATGCCGTTGTATATGAAGGTACACTTTATTGCCTTGCTCTTTTTGCTTCATTCATAAAAAAGATTTAATACATTCATTGTGCTGTTTGCATTTCTTCGTCTCTTTCTCTTTCTCTCTCTCCTTCTCTCACTTTCTGTCATTTCATCAAGATTTCTTGTCATTGTTGTCTCCAACGTTAATGTCGCCATCTTCTTACCTTTTTGTTCTTAATTATTTTTGCTCAGAAATTATTAACTAACAGCAAAACGTAGAACATAGAACTTAAAACATAGAACACAGAAGAACTCTTCACAATGCAAGCACTGAAGACAAATGGACGTACGAATGTAAACAAAAAAATATTATCATCTGAAAAAATACCATTTACTATATTCATGGTGACACAAAAAGTAAAACAAAATAACACAAAAAACGATACTAAACAAACAAACAAACAAATGAACGAACGAACGAGCAAACAAACAATCAAGCATTCAAGCAAAAACCTGGAAACAAATTCACTCATTCATTATCAAGAAAACAACATTTTACTTACTGGAGGTTTACACCCACTCACCAACCTACACACACACACATACACACACACATACACACACATACACACACACATACACACACACACATACACACACACATACACACACATACACACACACGTACACGTACACAAACGTTTTCCCACACACACACACACATACACACACACACACACACAGATACCAGATACATAACATACCCACACAAACGAGTACATACCCAGACAATTAAACACATGTAAAAACGTACATACATGCATACATACATACAGACAGACATATATACATACACACACACACATGCACACACACAAAGACACAGACACATAGACAGACAGACAGACGCACATGCAAGGAAACCTAATGGAAAGCATCGAGGAAGGAATATGTAATTGGATTATAAAGGCTTTAGTCTTTTCTGCGCCCGAAATTTTAAATTTTTTCATTACATTATTCCCATTTATTCTATTACTTACTTATTTACTTTTAGTTTTATTTAAAAGTTATCTTCATTTATGCATACTTATTTTTATTTCAGTTAGTTTATTTTCATTAATTTATTTTTTCGTAGATTTATTTATTCGAAAATGTCTTTTTTATATGTATTTTTTTAAAATTCCTAATTGATTTACTTGTTTGTAGTAGGGTACGAACGCACATATAAGCAGACAGCACTTTTTCTGCCAGCTTATTTCAAATCCTTATTTCCAAGTTTCATATTTTATTTCTGCCAATTTTGTTATTTAATAGTATCTATTTTACATTTAGATTTTTATTCATTCAGTCCGACCCATGACGGATTGAGACTTTAAACGAGGATTGATTGATTGATTGATTGATTGATTTTTATTCATTCACTCATTTGTTAATCATTATTTATACTATTATTATTACTATTTGTTTTTATTATTATTGTTATTATTATCATCATTGATCTACCGTTTCTTATTGTAAAATAATTTATGAAATGCTAACAAGCAGCAAAGGTTATGACTGAGATGATGCATTTGACGTAACTGAGTAATTGTTCAAAATAATAATAATAATAATTATAATGACAATAATAATGATAATAATAATATAACAATGATGATTATGATTATACTTATGATGACACAACTACTCCTGCTGCTACTACCACTGCTACTACAACTACTACTGTTGCAACAATTGTTGTTACCACTGAAGCTATTACTTCAATTACTACTATTACTACTAATACTACTGTTTTAAAAATATTACTAAAAATAATAAAAATAAATAGTAAATCTTCCAGAAGCAAGAAATAAACACAAGGCAAGATTCTGAACAAATATTGCAACAAATTTCTAAATAATAATTATGATAGTAATAATAATAATAAAATAATAATAAAAACAACTATAATAATAATATTAATAATAATATTAATAACAATAATAATAATAAATTTATGAAACTTTAAAATGATATGAATCCAAAAAAATTTATGACAATTTTTTCAAAAAAAAGAAAGAGGAGAAAAACAAACGCCAACACGCAACTTAATCAAAACTAATACTCTAAAACATCACTACGAATGCACGCACGCATGTGCAAATTATATTTACCAAAAAAACCAACCAACGCGTACACACGAATACACACACACACACACACACGTACACACACATGCACACACTCAAATAAACGTACGTGCAAACTTTGTATATACAATATATATACGTATACACGCTAAATATATAAACAAAAATTCACACACACACAATTTTATTGTTGTTTATGTGTGTGTTTGTATGTATTTAAGTACATACACGCACATAAACACACATGAATGACTCTAAACATTCAAATTTTAACATTTTTTGCATGAAGGATCGACATCAGAGATCCTTAAAAAATAACTTCGAACATACATTCATAAAATGGCATATACTTAGACACTTGCACATAAAGACTTATGTATACATTTATATTTTTACATACATACACATGCACATATAAGAAAACTCACACACACACACATACACACACGCGCGCACACTCACACACACAGATATACACTCAAAGATGTTAAGTACTACGCACCAAACTGGAGAGTACTGAGTACTAAAAATCACGAAATGCACCGAAGCAAATCTTGAATGTATGTGTGTATGTTTTTGTACATGTATGATTGTGTATGTTTGTATTGGTATGATTGTACGTTTGTATTTGTATTTGTATGTGTGTATGAATGTATATGCGTATGCTTGTATATGTATGTAAAAATCTATGGTATGTATGTATGTACTATGTATGTATTTGTTTAGGTTTTTATTTGTATGTGTGTATACATGTATGTAGATGTCTACGATTGTATTTGTATGTGTGTATGGTATTATGTGTGTTTGTATATTTATGTGTATGTAAAAATTTATGTATGTTTGTACATGCATGTATGTTTGGGTATATTCGTGTATACATATATATACATATGTGTCGATGAATGTATGTGTGTTTGCGTTAGTGTGTGTTTGTATGTGCGTGTAAGACAATCTCCTTCCAGGTTGTTTGTATGTAAATCCAGTTAATCAACAACTTGGTTTTTAGAACGCGGTAGAGAGCACATAATAACATTTCGTGAGAAAATATTTAAAAATTTTTTTTTATTGCAATATTTTGAAATTGTTTTCAGACGATTTTATGTTTTGTTCTTTTAAATATTACTAACCGAAAATTAATTAATTGAATGGGTGAATGAATGAATGAATGAATAATGAATGAATAATGAATGAATGAATGAATGAATAAACGCAAAAATTATAAGATTGATTTAAAAATTTTGATATTTTCTTGCTTAAAAATGATTCGTGCAATGTTAAAAATATAAAAATGATATATAGATCTGCGTAAAAAATTGCACGGTTTGTATACCATATGTGGGTAATGTATGTGTGTTGTTTGTGTGTATATGTGTATATATGTATTTATATGTGTATGTATGTGTGTATATGTGTTGTGCATGTATATACACATGAATGTGTGTATGCGGATTTGGATGTTTGTCTGTGCTTATATGTGTTTTGTCTGTTATATATTGTCATGAAAAGGACGCTAAGAAAGACGAATGTTTCTGTAATTGTGTTATTTGGTGTACACAAATTTTTCTTTAAATGATATATTACCACCTTTATCATTTTCATCATCATAAGCATCATCATCATTATTAATAATCATTATTTTTGTTTTTTTTTCTACTGTTTATTATTATCTGCTAATGTTATCATCTTCTTAATGGGGTCACAACAAATGTTTTGAACCGACTGAACGATCTGAAATGTTCAACGTGAATGTAAAAATAGAAAAATAACTCTGCATAGCTAACCTAACTAAATCGAGATTAATGATGTTTAAGTGTAGTTAGTCTATAGTGCGAGACTGCTTTTTGGATCTTTGATAAGTTTTTGTTGCTTGAAGGTAAGTAAGTCTAATGGCAATATTTTTGTTAATTTTAAATAATTAATTTAAAAGTATTTTGAAGAATATAGTGGATTATATGAAAAAAAAAAGAAAAAGAAGCTTTTATATATTCCCGCCTTTTTTGTTGAGACAAGATAAATCAGAGAGTAAAAATCTGACAAAGAAAAATAGTTTTTATGTTGGAAAGTATTAAAAACAGGTGCTAGGTAAATGTTCGTTAACGCTTGAAGCGTTTACTTTAAATAAAAACCGCCAAGGGAGAACTTTTTCAGTCTCTGGTGAATCTTTAATTGCATACCAAGAATAAATGAAGAATGCAAAAAATACAAACAGGAAAAAACGAACAAAGAGTCAAAAAAATAAAATTCAAGATGTGCTACTTATAAAGATGATTGTAGGTATAGAGTGAGTTACAAGAAAATGAAAACAACATTAACGAATTTATATCACCTTCATAGCGTTTACAAACATTTTTTATTAACGCTATCTTAGTCTTGTTGTTTTGTTGCTTACCACTATTATGACGTCATGATTACAATCTATTTAGTTGTTGTTATTCTCTGTGACGTCGTCGATATGTTTAGACTTTTCCTTATTATCGTCATACTTTTTATTATTATGGTTTTTTCAATAAGCTTGGTGTTTAATTGAAAAATCGATGTTGCTGTTGAAATCAATTATTCAAGTTTATGATTGTAAACACAATTTTTGTTAGTCGTGATATCGCTCGTATTATTTATTATATATCATGAATGTCTGATTGTCACCATCATCTTCATCACATCATCTCACTTTCACGACCATCCGCAATTTTCACCACATCATCCTCATCGTCGTCATCGCGATCACCATCTTCTTTCTCTAGTCATCACTAATTTTTTCTTTTCATCATGCAAGTCTGAATATCACAGAGCTGCTTAAAAACATTCCAAATTGGATCTAAAAGTTTGCGATACTTGCACAAAGCGTGTGATGTCTTTGAATAGTGCGAAGGCAGTATTCGAACCGAGTCGGTTCGCAATGATATGGCACTTCAACCGTCTGAGCTATCTCGCTAGCCACCCATCAATCTTTATTGAAACATTCTTCGAATATTTCTTCCAAATATTATCTCTATTATGTTTTTTTAAACACCACCATCTCACTAATCTTCAAACGCCATACATCTGACTAGAAATAATCCAAAATATGAATAGTGTATATTCCAGGTTAACAACATATGAAACGTTGGTGCAAACTAAGGAGTATATACATAATTGGTATTCCCACACTTACACACACACACACAAACGTACACACACAAACGTACACAAATACACACAACACATACACACACAACACATATACATATATCATGTTTTATTTATACAAATGTTATTTTTATGAGTTCATTGTTTTTGTAAGATGAATTAAGCCGAATAATTTAGGATAATATCGTAAACATCCAACAAATATACTGCTTGGTTATTACATTACGATCCTGTGAAAATAGAATGATAATAATAATCGTAAAAATAATAATGACAATAATAACAGCAATAACAACAACCACAACAATAACAACAATAACAACAAATCACTGTTATGACTATAACAAACTATGACATAAACAATGTCTTTGGTATTGATAGTCTTCTACTACACTGGTCCTAAAACTGCGTTATTTTTAATAAAATAAAGATCTACCACTGTAATAAACAAAACAAAATAACAATAATAACATTAAAAACAAACAAAAAACAAGCAACCACAAAAACATCAATGACAATCATAATAATAACACTACAAGTACTAATGTATAATATCAGCGACAACAACAACTACAATATCAACAAGAACAATAGCAAAAACAACAACAACAAAAGCAACAACAATGAAAATAGTACTACTAATAACAATAGTAACAACAACAACAAAATAATGATAACGATATAGCATAAATAAGGCCAGCGATAAATATGAAAGACTAATTATTATTATTCCTGTCCCAAAATTTTCTCTGTATTTCTACTTGCTTTTATTATTATTGCTATTATTATTTTGATTATTATTATTATTATCAAATTATTGTTATTCGTTTTTGTTATTTGTTTCTATTTGTTATTTTTATGGCAAATTTTTTATACAGTGTGGTGATCTAACAACATTCTCATCGCTATTTCAATTTCAAAGTATTGAATGTTGAATATGGAAATACCTTAATATTGCTAGTAGCAGTAGTAGCTGTAGTGATAGCTACATAATTTTTCAGCTGTTGTAGTAGCAGCAGTGATAGCGACGAGAGTATTTTTTGTAGTTGCAGAAGTTGTGAGTAGTATCACTTATCAGTTAAATTTATACTAGATTATTTAAAAATTATTCAATTTGTTTGGTTCAAGTTAGTTTTTACTCTGTTCTCTCTTGCTTTATGTTTTGCTTTTATTTCTTCTTACATCAGAAGGATTTATATTTTGAACCAAAATATGATAAAATAATTGTTATCTAGTGAAAAACTTATTATTTATCATTTATTTGGCATGTGATAGCATCAAATCACTTAATTTTTTCATGTAAATGTTATGACTTTTAGCCATCTTATTGTGTCTCTATAGTTCACCATTTATTAATAAAACTTATGGAAACAACATATAGTATATACGTACAAAAGCCAAAAATATTTATATATAATATATGCATACGTAGAATAATATTCAAATAAATTAGAATCCTTATTTTGTATATGCAATTGTTTTTATGTTACTTCTTATAGTAACTTATGTTACTATGTATGTAATTTATCTACTCTTAAAGCTTTTTGTTACTAATTATATGAATTGATTTATCATTTTTTAGTATATGAGTATAAGTCAGCTTGGTCTACTTAGTAAAATTACTGAATTGATTAGGGTGAATATTGAGATATACGTTGGTAATAGACCATAATTTTTACAATATTCTATAAATTCTACCAAATGTTTGGCGTTAACATGTTTGATGAAAGAAGCCCGATTACTGCGAATGAAGATTATAAACGCTTCGTAAAACAACAAACATAAATAATCATCACATAAAGCTTATCTGACGTGTCTATTTATGGTTCACGATTACTATTAGTATGTATAAACAATTTTTTTATGCTTAGAAATATTAATAACTCAAAAAATTTGTTGTGAAAAACTTGGCCTATTCATAAACCATTTAATATTCTTTTTCCAAACAGAGAAGTTTGAAAGTAAGAGTCTTTAATAGAACTTGAAAAAATAAATTTTGCCTAACCTTCATTTGTAGGAGGACGTTAGGAGGGACGTGAATGCCGACAGAACTGGAC